CTCGCATGTCATGTAAAAATAAAAATCTCGGAGAGCATAAATACCCTGTCAGTGTCCCTTCTAAAACATACAAAACTTGAAGTTGTATTTGACATTTCTAGATTTAGATAAAGAAACAAAAATGCTGCAATACCAAGTAAAAATGCATGAAAAAACAAAAAAAAAAAAAAAAACAGACAAAATGTGGACTTGAAAACAACAGTGTAGAACTACAACTGTAAGTAGTAGAACTAGTAGTTCTTCTACTTACTAAGTTCTACTAAGTTACTAGTCTACTTAAGAAGTAACTGTAAGTAGAACTGTAGTAGTAGAACTGCAAGGTCTTATACAAAGGGTACAAGGCACGCTACAGCTACACGAGAAACAAGTCAAACCCGGTGCCCACTGATCTCCAAGCATGGCGCAAGTGAAGCCACCGGAAGTTCGATGCTTGTCCCGGAAGTCCGGCCTGTGCTGGGCTTCCCAGTGCGTACATACGATATTTTGGCCCATGCTTTTTTGTGTCTTTGATTGGGTTTTACTTTTCCCGTTTTCAATTGAGTCATGAGAATAAGGCATTCGAACGCGGGACATACGCATACTCCATAAACTAGAATCTCAAAATTTTCACACCGAATGGCTTCCCAGGAGACTTACCCGTCAGCATGCGCTGCTACTCCGCAACAAGCAGGCTCTCTTGGGATGACAAGAAAAAGTCCAGCGCCCTGAACGCTGTTCTATTCAGCACTCGGAAGAGTTGAAAAGCTTGTCAAGTGCTCACTTCCGGGACAAGCCGCTTACTTTCGGAGGCTTCGTACCTGTCTCCTCAATGCGCCATCCAGCGAACCTCCAAAGACAGCGCGCCCTCTGACGGCGCACTTTTGGCGCCGTTTCATTGGCTCACTCGGATCGTAACGTCGGCTATGGTCCCGGTGATAGCGAACCTCCGAAGACAGCGCGCTCTCTCTGACGACGCACTTTGGGCGCCGTTTCATGGGTACCTTTTATTTCGCCGACGTGTTTTGGTACTTTTCGTGTCGCCGACGTGTTTTCGCTCAAGGACTTTGAAGGTCGACTGAACGATGAGCCGTATAAGGTTTTCGTCTTGAAACGAATTTCGGGCTGACATAAATGAATTTAAAATGGGATTTTACTAATAGCATATGATTTAGTGGGCCAAAAGAAAAAAGGTAGAAAGTCGAAAGCCTGATTTCAGGTACGAAATTTTGAAGTAACAGCGCACCATTTCGTACCTCCCTCCCTTCGAAATCTCTCTGCCTTTTCACTGATACATCTGCGGCACCCAAAGGCACAAACGCACGTCACACGACACCGGACCTCACTTACTCCCTTCACCCCTAAGGTGACAGTGTGGTGGAAGCTACGCGCTTGCCGGACCAATCAGCCGCTTCTTTTTCATCACCTGACCTCATTCTCTTCACATGGGTATGCGCGAGGGAGCGTGATCACGTGGCAGAAGTGTGGCTGGCCCAACGAGCACGTAGCTTCCACAGCACTGTCAGTTTCGGGGTGAACGAAGTGGGGAAAGCAACCTTTGTTCGAGCTTCGAGGACAAGCTAATCTTCTAGGAGGAGAAGAGGGCCCGAGCAAGAGGGGAGTCCCTTTTTTCCGCCTTCTTGAACTCTTTGGTACAATGCGCGATTTGTGAGTTCAGGAGGAAAGCTTAGAAGAAAAAAGTTGAAAAATCGTTTCATGACCATTTTATTGAAAACACTGATTCGTAAAGATTTTCAAGGTGCAGGTGAGCTGGTGTATGTTGATCATGATGTTAAAATCCTGAGACTGGGAAGGAAAAATGAAAGCACAAATGTAAAAAGACACAGAAATAAGGGGATAGACAGACGTCTCAAACTCAGCTAACAAATTTTACTCCGTCTACAGCTTTTATAACCACCTCTCAAGGTCACCGCCAACGCACACCGATACGTTTCTCCCTTTCCACCACAACCACAAAGAGAACCTTTTATACCCCTGATTCGTAACTTCTTAATCTCCCTAGACTCTCTAGAACAGCAGCGAGCAAAATCCTACATCTTTCAATGAAACGCACGAGGTCTCCGCAACCGTCTGTCGGACCTTCGCCAGCTAATTTGCAAGTATACAATATCGGAATCAAGTGTTCCTCGTACAATACGCTCGTTTAAATACGACATATTTCACTCGATCAGGGGAGGAGGCCCAGTAGACTCTTACTTGCCATACTAAAACAGCTCACATATGCGCAACACAATGTAACTTCCCATCCTATACCAGTGAGTACGTGATTGCAACTATCACGAAAAACGACGCAGCACTAACAGTTTTTGCTGCGTAAATTGAGCCAAGAGCTCACCTCGACAAGGGACGTCTTGAGAACGTAATCAAAACAACCCCACCTCCCCACATATTGAGTGACGATTTTAACGCTCATCATCCTTTATGGGGAGGGGGAAAACGACATCGCGGGGAGAAGCCATTATAAACATCGCCCACAAGTACAATCTGGTTATATTGATTTTAATTGAAATCCGACATTTTTTTTTAGAGTCGCCACAACGAGCAGCTGTTCAGACATTACGCTGGCACCCTCCCACTTTGCACATAAACCTACGTTCGTGGAAATTGAAACCCATGGCAGTGATCACCTTCCAACATGCGCATTAATACACGGGTTCAATAACATGCGCAATGAGAAAAAAAAAAAAAAACAAGAAAACTTGCATGTACAAACTGCAACTTTATTAGGGCAAAAGTTGAACAAGTCTTCAGTATAGTGGTGGTAGACTTGCAGCGAGTCTATCACCATCGCTAAATACCTACTTTGCTTATATCATAAGGACTATGACTATAAAGGCTACAAAAACGATCCGAGTACACGATAGACAGGAAGCACTAAACGAAGAATATTAACGATTTCAAGCTATCCGTAGACGAGCCGAACGCACGAAAAACGATGAACAGAGAAGATATAACATATCTAGACGAGAACAAAAACATGTCCAGCGACATCTCGGCAAGCTCTGTGAGAAACGCTGGAAATCTAGGAGCGCCCCTACCTAACCCCAGAAAACGCACAACTCGGATATGGCGACGCAAAGTTTAAGCGCCGCTCCGCAGCTAACGTAACCCTTTCGTTAGCTGCGGAGTTCCCAGACGGGAACTCCGCAGCTAACGGTTATTCCCAGACGGGAATAACTGAAGAATTTTGCAAACGTATTACGCCAGATGTTTTAAAATCAGACTCAACTCCCAGTATAGCTTCTCAGGATAATGTCCCCGCTCTGATTTTTAGGGCTCATCTCGGTGACATGGCGAAAAAATATATACTGGGTGTCCATAACACTTGGAATCTGGAAATATGCCCATTGAGTGGAAGACCGCACGTATGACACTTTGGAGAAGCTGTGCATGGACGCCGCCATAACTCACCTTCAGTTTTTGTTTCCCCTTATTCCGTTTATTTCACTTCATCATTACCATAGCAGGCCAGGTTATTGCCATATTAGATTCAACTGTATCCTTTTCTAAAGCATCGGCCTTTGTAGAGGATCGTCAACTACCTTTTTAGTTGCTCGGCATCTCGGTAAGTCAAGAGAAGGTCAGCAATGGCGGCTGTAATTTGGCGCGTGTGTAAAGCGTCTATAGTTCCTATTCTTACACCAGGCAAATCTCCTTTGGGCATAAGTTCATGTCGTCCTCTTTCTTTATCAAGTTGTGTTTGAAAAAAATATGGAAAGGATGCTACTCTCGCGAATCGAATGGGACCTCGAAAAGAGAAACCTATTTCCTTCATCCATGTCAGGATTCCGCCGAGCAAGGAGCAGCATCGACAATGTTCTATAGACGCTTTACACACGCGCCAAATTGAGCCGCCATAGCCGCCCTTCTCTTGTCTTACCGAGGTGCCGAGCCACTGAAGCGGGCGTTGACGAGTCTCCACAAGGGCCTATGCTGGGGAGAAGGACACAGCAGCACTTAAAGTGACAATAACCTGGCCTGCTGTGGCAATGGTGAAGTGAAGCGAACGGAATAAAAGGAAACAAAAATTGAAGGTCAGTTATGGCGGCGCCCATGCACAGCTGCTGCAAAGCGTCTATATCAGGGGCCTCCAAACTTTGTGACTAACGGGCCGGATTAGGTGACTGACGGTTTCCTCCTGAATCGTGGCCTCCAAGAATGCCAACGGTGGCTTGATTACTGCCGCTTGAACTAAGGCACGCATCAGAAAATGAACAGTCATCTAGCTGAGTTTTCTGACAATTCGAAGCTCCAGCCTCATAAAATCACAAGGTAGTTGTTCAGTAATTAAACTACAGCTAGAAGCCCTTTCAATTGCGTGTTTAGTCAAAAGTAATTAATTACAATTACAAATTACACAAAAATGAAGCTACGGAAAGTCAATTGTGCAGTTTAATTACTACTGAAACGTACTAGAGGACACGTAAACGCAAACATAAAACCCCTAAAAAAATGCCACGGTTCACTATCTATGTTTGACTAGACTAACAGCGAAAAAATACAAACAACCACACAAAGCTTACTGCGATTGACAGCGTGGGCTGTTCCATTGCCGAAGATATGCTTTTTAAAAGATTCGACTAGGCTTGGAGATATTTGCTTTCCCACGGCAGGGGTGAATTTAAGCGAGGTGGGGGACGGGGGGGGGGGGGGGGGGGGGGGGGGGGGGGGACGGCCCCATAAGCTTCCGAGACTTGTTTTCATTTTTGAAAAAAAGACATACACCAGCTTTTTCTAGAAAGAAATGTTTATTTTTTTTTTATTTTTTTAATGTTAAATATTAGGTCAACAATCCGTATCTGGGCAATGCTTCGCGCACGTGACATCAGATCCCTCTGCGGACCCCGCCCCCTCCTATTTTGCCAAGCCTGACCCATAAGTTGGCCCCTGTTCCACGGTGGAGTGTAAAAGAGGAATGTGGGTAATCTTTCGGGAGCGGGCGTTCATTCGGGATATCACGATTTGGCGGTAGATATGTCTATTGAATCGTTCCTTTTCGTGAACTCGCAGCGCGAACATTTTATTAGCGGCAAGAGCTCAATCGTAGCGCGCCTCTCAGCTTCGTCGTGGACTGCACGCCATCGAAGTCTGGAACAGGAACTAGGCCTGCCAGAGTTTGTTGGCGAGCAGCAAGAAACTTCTGGTGGAAGGGCACGAGCCGAGGGGCACCATGTCACGCGCCTCCCAACAAAGGTTGGCGTAACCTGCGGCGAGCATGGCGTCCTCCAGGGCGTTCTTGGGAGCGGGGCCAGGGGGGGCTACGCCCACGAGGGCCAGGAGACCGCCCCTGCGCAGGCGCCGACCCACGCGTCGTAGCACCTGCACCTGGGCCGCGGGCTCCGGGCTCTGATCCTGCAGGCAGATGCGGCGAGAATCACACGCACGCGTTAAATTTGTGACGCCGGTGCTACACCCCACATATTTAGTGCCAGCACCATAAGGGTGCTACAACAGCACCCTCAAGGTGCCGGTGAACACCCTAAAAATTTATTTATTTATTTATCTATTTATTTACAGATACTACTGCCTTCTCAAGGAGGGCGTTGTAGGACGGGCTTCTAAACAATGACTGAAACGTACAATATGGGACAAGGCCAGTGCAACGAACATATTAAAGAGCAGAAACAGTGCAACGAACATATTAAAGAGCAGGATCCGAAATAGGATCCTTTTAGCATAATTCTAGAAATCGTTTTTTTTTTTTTTTTTGCTTTTCTTTTTTTACGAGCCACACGTGTACAGAATACACGTACCAGATACAGTTGTCACATGCAGAGAAACGACAGAGACGCAACGATCCACGCACAAGACCGGAATCGGGATTTTGTCGTAGCTCCGGTCTCGAAACGTACTCATTTCACTTCGGATTCTAACGGCGAATTCCTCTGGTCGTTTTGGAGCGCGCCGGGATCAGTAGACCAGATCCGATATAGAGTACTCGATCCAAACGGAGTAGCTCCTCTCCCTGATCCCACTGGGGAGCATGACCATACCTCCGGGATCGGCGGACGCCTTCCCGTCATTCACCTTTCCGAGAGTGCCCTTCCCGCGGTCCCCGGATCTCGAAGCACATTTTTTCGCAATCGCGGCGCTAACAACGCGTGTTAAACACACGAGCGAAGTTAATCATGATCTGAGAGATGCGTGTCGATAAGCGATGTGCATCAGCCCAGCCCACTTGCCTCTTCAGCGGAATACTCGTGAACGGTGTCCAAGTACGTCACGATTTTCGGCCTCTTCTGCGGAGGTCCAAAAAGGCAGTCGAATTCATGCGAGACATACGAGCAATCCTCGTCGTCGCTGCTACTCGAGCCGCTGCTCCTGGAGGAGCTGCTCGAGCAACTTGACGACGAACTGTCATCAAGCAGCAGCAGCAGCAACAGTAAGGCGGGCGGCACTTCGTGAGTGGCTATTACGAATTTCACCGAGGCGAGATGCCTGGCGAGAAAGGAAGTCACGTGTGAGCGCCGAGGGCTGGCCAAGCTGGTTTCCGGTCGAATCCGCCGAAATCGACGTAGCGACTTTCCTCAGATCCGGATCGAGATCTGGAGTGGGAGTTGATCTCAAAGGACAAGTGGAACGCGTCCTTTTGATCCCGATCGCCATGTGAGATAGGCGCGCCCCAGAAAAGTCGATCCCGGAGTGCTCCAAAACGAACGGTGGAATGCGCCATGAGGAACCTGGAGCGTCTGCTCTTCCGCTAAGCACTTGGAGAGCGCAGAAAATCTACGAAGCAAATTCGGTAAATGACAGGGCTCGTAATATGCTTAAACCCCAGGGGACAATCTGCGCTGCGGGAATAGTGAAAAGTCCTGCTCAGTGCCACAGAGCGGAGTTTGTTTTAGCTTTATATATTATCTGTCCCGTCATTCGCCGAGTTCTTTCCGTAGATTGCTGCGCGCTCCAAGTGCTTTGCGGGAGAGCGGGCGCTCCAGATTTCTTGGAGTGCGGACTGCCTCGGATATAACCTCACGGGGGTCACGTGACCCCAGTGACGTCACGAGGGTCACGCGACGTCACGAGGGTCAGTGACCTCACGGTTACGCTGATGGCAACGCCGACAGCGACGCCGCTCGGAAAGAGGAGTAGCAGGCAGGGTGAGGAGGTGAGGAGGAGGGAGGAAGGATATACCTTCCCCTCAGTACCCTTCCCCTCCTCCTCCTCAAGAACTGCGCTCTGATTCGGCGTTACAGGGGGTTGTAAACGGCTTTAATTTCTTTTTTATAATTTTTTTTTTTGGTGGGGCTTAGTGAATGTATCTTTTAATAAAACCACTGGTTCAGGCAATAATATTTCGATGTATACACCCTAGGACAACTCCCGCTGAAGCTGCTTGAAGCGGGGATGTTGTCGCTTTCCTGCACTGCACCACAGCACCCGTTGTGCAGCCTTCAAGGAATGAAGAATACACCATTCCGGAAATATGCAGCGCCTTCCATCGTCTTTTCGACGCACAACGGCAATTTAATGAACGCCGCGTGAAGGAGCACCCCTATATAGAAAAAAGTTGCTCGTGCTTCCTTAGCATTTTGAGATTTCAGAACGTAAAGAAAGCAGAAGGATAAGAGATTGACGAGGGGCCTTCTGGGATTTCCTGGAGAGGTCTATTTTACAGGGAAGAGCACTTTACTGTACACTTATAAACAGTGCTTTACTCGAAATAAGAGCGCCGAAAGGAGCCATGGGTGTGTCTTCCTCTAAATAGCATTTCGGATTAGCCCGACGGTCGACCCTCGGGGTGGGCTGACAACGACGCCTGTCCCTTACAGCCCACCTGGAGGGCACTGGCCAGCAGCACGACGACGTCTAGCCTGAAGAGGCGGTGGACGGACGGCAGCAGGTGAGGATGGCCCAGGTTGCACTCGAGCACCCCGCGGAGAGCGGAACGCAGTCGGGTTTCCACGTGGGCCAGGCCCATCGTCGACCTGCGCCGCCTCGCAAGTTCGACCGATTCGCTCTCTGCCACCCACACAAACGGCTTTACTTCCTTTACACTTGTTCGCCCGATTCGCTCTTCTTATCTTCTTAAACAAAATGGACTCGAAATGTTTCTTCAGCTCTCGCTTTTTATTTTTATTTTTCCTGATTTTTGGATGAAAGCTTCTTCGTAAAATATTCATCCCGTGAAGAATAGCAGAGGGGACCGAGAAGGGGTCTCAAAGTGTTCCAATCCTTTGAACCGCAGTAGAAATGTTTTGGCTTTAAGTCAGTTAATTATTTTTATATAAATTTAATTCAGTTTAACTTGATATAAATCACTGTAGCTCAAAAATAGTCACTCTTTACACCTATAGATCATCGATAAAAGTGTGGAACAAAAGAATTACTGTAAATAAAAAGTACAGTTTAATTTACAACTTCCTATTTATGTAACCTTGTCCACACTAAAACAAAAACAGCTTGATTTGTTTTAGTTAAACTTTATGGCAAATTGCTGTGCAATTGTGTAGCATACGTGAAACGTTCTAGCATCCCAAACGTTTAGCGATACTCTGAATTTCCAGACAGCAGAGGCCTACGTTCGCGACACCCTTCATCAGACATTGTAACGCGTACCGTGTGCACACTTGTTAGTTGTTCCTAGAATGAAGTAGCGCTGATCGGGCTGATAAACCTGGCGATCTTCCAGAGCCTTCCATACTCTCCCGAGCTCCTCTCCCTCAGTGCGCACAGGTGGTCCGGCTCCACCCCTACCTGCCTCCTCTTCGCCCATCCCTCTGGTCACATGGCCTCCTCATTAACCAATCAGCGTCGAGCGGCTCACTCCTCCTCCCCCACCCGTCAACCAATCAGTGTCGAGTGTCGCGTCCACGCTTTTATCCAGGCTTCAAAAGATGCCGAACACCTAGCCAGAGAACGTTTCACGCTGAAAAGCTATATTTCATTTTTCTTTCGCGTTTTGACTCCATTTCAAAAGAACTTTTCTAACTCCTGTTTCTTTCTTTTGCGTTCTGATTTTGCTTCAGTACGACGTTACATGTTTGACGAACGAAGCTCAACGGTTCGATTTGCTAAGAAGAGCACCTCTTCTTGCTCCTGCTCAACATTCTAAAAATCTTTCTTCTTTGATGATTTAAATATTTTTAAAGATGCACACAGAACGCGCCAAATGGCAGACAATAAAAGAGCAAAAATATATCCGGGGTTATTTTTGCGGGAAAGGTTTGATTTAAATCATAGTAAAACTGGTCTGGTTTAAATCACGATTTAAGTCTCGATTCATATTCTATTGATTTGTATTCTTTTTGTCATGTGGCTGTGACGTCAGGACCCTATCTGCCAATCAGAATTCTCGAGTCACGCCAGCTTTTCGGCGCGCCACGAGTTAACGCTGAGCGTAACCCCCCGTCCTTTGTGACGCCACAGCGTGGAAGTAAAGAAGACAAAAGTTCCCGGACCACTGGATCGGCGGCCGAGATGCATTTCTGCGCCCTCTGACGGCGCGGTCGAGGCCGGCACTTGGCGCATGCGCGTCGTTCTCTGCTCGCAGGGATGCCGAGTTTTTCGTTTCCGGCAGCCGCGCTGCGATCCCCGATAACTTGCCGCGTGGCGCCGCTTCAGAAGCATCCGCGCTAAAGTCCCTCGATACAATTCTTTTACAAGTAGCGACAACCAATACAAATGACAGAGCACATTCCACTGGAACAACATGGCGGTCCCAACCTCTGCTGTGCGCCTTCCTAAAACCTGCACCGTCACGCAGTCGGCGCTTCAAAGAATGCTTGTATACGAAGTTCTTATTTAGGGTTTTTAATCCGCGCTGCGGCGTCAGATATCGCTCTAAGAAGCCGCGTTGGCCGGCTGGCCGCGTCCGTGAATCAGCCGGAGAGGAGCATTTATGCTTTTATTTTTATGCGAATTGAAAAAAAAAAAAAAAAAATCGGCAGTCCAGCCTTTTGCCTAATTATTTACCACGATGCGATGCTTGACAAATCTGTTCTTATAGCGTCTAAAGAGGTCCGCCAACAAAAATGAAAATAGTTGGGGTCCAAGTTGGGAGAAGAGCGTTGGCCAAAAAGTGGCGCGCGCTGCCCTGTCTGCAAGATCCGCGTCTCCCGCTGATTCATGGGCGCAGTCAGCCGGCCAGCGCGTCTCGATTTTCTCGGACATCTGGCACAGCTTGGAGCGGAATACGGATTAAAGACCCTAGATAATAGCTTCGTATACGAGTAGCGAGATTCTTTGAAGCGCCGACTGCGTGACGGTGCAGGTTTTAGGACCCGGACCGCTTACGTGGTCCGGGAACTTTTGTCTCCGACTGTACTTCTTTTCGAAGCGATTGCTGCTGTATATGTGGGATCTCCGCAGCTCTATGCAGCTGTTAGAAAGACTCTTTGTTTCGAACGAAGCTCACGGCAGTGCCTCGACGGCGGAGACCATGGCGAGGAAGGGGCTGTAGTCGGGGCAGCCGGGCTCCCTGCAGATCCAGGCCTGCAGGGCGTTGCGGTTGGCCTGCTCGGGGTCTGCCAGGTACACGTTGGCTAGGAACTTGCTCAGCACGGCCGCATGGTGCAGCGTCGGACCGCAGCACAGGTCCAGGCCCGTGCCTCGGCCGGGAGACGGCCATGCTGCGCGCAGCGCAACTAGCTTCCAGTTACGGTACCTCCCTACCAGGGCCGTAACCAGGGGGGGGGGGGGGGGGGGGGGGGGGGGGGTTAGGGGGTTCTGACCTTCCCCCCCGAAATTTTTTTCTGGGTATGGCCCTGGTCGGTGCACTGGCAGCCAGCCGATTTTAATCTCCACCTTTGCGCACGCGCAGTGGCGCCGGTCGGCTACCGGGTACCAAACCGGGACCGGTTCTCCGGTTTGCTGTAACTCTCCATTATATGCCGCCGATGCACATGATTCATAGGCGAAAATAAGACAATAGGCACTTTCAAAATGGCCGCCGTTGTCCCCGAAACCCCCCCCCCCCCCCCCCCCCCCGAAATATTTTTCTGGGTACGGCCCTGCTCCCTACATACGTGCGAGATGGACCAATACGACGACAAGGCCTGCGCATGACGTCACCGTTAGTGGACTCCAAGCGGCCAACACGCTAAGCTCGACGAGAGACGACAAGCGCCACTCGCGTTCCTCTTGGCGACACCGCGTGCTGCTCGTTGGGAGACACTGCGAGACGCGCTGGCGGCGATGCTGACGCAGGCCATACTCCTTGGGGTTATAGTCCGTTGCAACTCAAGAACGTAGACGTAGATAAGCGCCGAAAAAACACAAGGACAACAAGAGACGGAAACACTGTCGTCGGGGTAAAAGTATTTTTCAATGCCTTCAAGCACCGACGTTGCGTGCATGATGGCGGTACGAATATGTACGGCATCAGACGCGGCGTCGGTGCTTGGGGGCATTGAAGAATAATTTTACTGTCTTGAAACACGCAATAATAACAACATAATTGTAAGAGATCTGGGGAAATAAGCATGAGTGATAAGTTTATTGCATGCACAGTGCCAAAGACGCTAATATTGGCCGGGGAACGCTTTCAGCACGATGATGCTCCATATCAATCTTGGTGCGAGTGGTTTTGACGACCCTTTCGAAGCTTCAAAGCTTTGAACGGGTCCAAAACGGCGATCACAATGGCATGGACAGAGATGAGCCAATCACCTTGAGAGTGTTTGTCGTCGGTATGTTGGTATTTGTTTGTGCCCGGTTAGCAGGTGGGAAGGCAATGGTTACCCTCGTAACCCTCGTGACAGTAACCCCTGGTAACCTTCGTAACCCTCACAAGGGTTACGAGGGTTAGTTACCCTCAAAAGAGTTACGAGGGTTACCCTCACAAGGGTTACTAGGGTTACCCTCACGAGGGTCACGAGGGTTGCCCTCATGAGGGTCATGAGGGTTACCCCCTGAGGTCACGTGACCTCAGGGGGTAACCCTCATGACCCTCGTGAGGATAACACTCGTGACCCTCGTGAGGTAACAGGGAGTCACCTATCCCTCAGTACCCTTCCATCCTCCTCCTTAAGAGCTGCGCTCGAATCCGGCGCTACAGGGAGTTGTAAACGGCTTTAACTTTTTCTTTTTTTTTTTATGATGCATTCACGGTGAGAAGCTGGGCGCTTCTATTTTCCTCACCCGGGGTAGTGCACGTGCGACCCACACGGTTATGCTTTAACTTTCACAGTGCATAGAAGCTTGGCATTGCACGTGCTTGCACCAGCAGAGGAAGTTGATGTATCCTCGCTCTGGGTTGTGAAAAAGAAATGCACCAGGCGGCGATACCCATACTTCTCGCCGCGAATAAGCAGTGTGACCCGGCTTAAGATAAAATGAGCGTTTCTTTACTCCCAAAATATTTACAAATTATGGAAAGCGGGTTCGGTCATTCTATCTGCCTCATTGTTATAATAAACTGTCAGAAGGGCTTTTTAATTGTACTCGATAAGAGCAATGAAAAGGGAGTTAAACACATGGTGTTTACTGTGAATGTATACTGTTGAACTGTATTGTGCCGCGCAAAATGATTCGATTATATCGTCTTGTTTGAGGCGCTTTTGAGCATCTTTTTTGTTACTTTGTTTTTTGTTTTATTTGTCACGGTAATTTCTACTGGATGCCAGGTCCTGCCCACAAGCACAAAAGTGCTTTTGCGGGCCCAGAAAATGCCTGTATACATTTTCTGAACAGAAATGTTATTAGTAATCATATTATATTGATGGAGTTTTGAATCGGTGTACGAGCGATATATCGTATTGATTTAGAATTTTTTTTTCTGCAGATTTTGGTCATTTATAGGTCTGTACATTAGTCCACCTTCTCGACAGACTCTCCCCGAAACTGAATGCTCTTGAAGCCCTTGTGTGGCAGCCTTTCCACGCCCTGCTGGAACCACTTTTTCGGAGTGCTCCACACCCATGGACAGCTGCGTCCAGCTTATTAATGACCGCAAAAAACGACCTCACAGTTTTTTTGTTTTTTTTTTGTATTAGCCAACAGCTGGTGATAACTACTGGGAGGTCCGCTTACGTCATATCCATGCGCGACCAAACGTCTGACTGATCGTACCAAAAAGATGGGCCAAAAAGACGGCCGAACCTGATTACCTCACGTGATTGAACACGACGCAGTGATTGACCGCTGTCTGATCGAATACGGTCGACTTTTTGGCACATCGCACGACCTGTCAGACGTTGGGTCGCGCAGGGATAGGACCGAAGAGGCGTATAAATTATACTGAAATTCAATTTCCTCGCTAAATTTAGCGGGGGAGCGTTTTCGCTCTAAATTTGGGGGAAAACATGATTTGGCTTATAATTATACTCAAATTCAATGTACTCGTTAAATCTAGCGGGGAAATTGCGCGTTGCACTTTTGTGTCTCACTTTTCTTACGCACTTCCGATACCCACCTCCATTACACGTTTTGCGGGAATTATGTTTATGAAAGGACCTTATTCACATGCTCATTTTGAGTAAAAAATAAAAAAAAAAGACTCAGTTTTTTTACTCTAGTGAAGAAGGAAGACCAGCGGAGCTGCACAATGGAAAGTAATGGCCGGCCGCAAGTCGGCAAGTCAATGGGGAAAGGCTGCCGCCATCTATGAGCGACGGCGGCAACCTGATACGTGGCTTGCCGCCGTAGCTCATAGATGGCGGTAGGTGTCTAGAGTTCAGTGTCCATTTTTTTGCGGGGTACACGATCCTGGGGAACCTAGCCCTTAACAGCTCCGCTGTAAAAAAATATGAATCTATATATTTAAAAAGAGTCGCCGTAGAACTGCAGCCTTGGGGTGTTACAACGCGGTGCCTGGAACGCGTCTCCGGCTCTTGCCACCTCCTAAAAAGTGGTCCCCCAATTTCCGCCCGATGACGTCATACAGGTGTCATGCTGTCACCGGCCGCGACACTGGTGGTGTCGCAGCGACGGTGCATAGATATGGCAGACGCCTGTTCTGCTCAGGATCGCTGTCCAGCTTGATGGCAATCCACGGAAGAAGCGAGGAGTTGGAAAGCCGCAGCGACAGCGACAATCTCATTCGCTCGTAACAGACCCCCCTCTCGTAAGAGAGCTGGGGGTCTGTTATAACAATATTCATACAAATTTAAAAAAAAATAGTAGAAAGGATGATGAAATGTTAGGCTAGGTGGCGCAAGCTGCTGCCCGTTACAAAGGGTATAGCCATTACCATCCATCCATCCATCCGTATTCTTTCGCCAGGGCTCCTACCATCGACCGCCAGAATCGCGACATCCGGCAGCATGACACGACGCCTTCTGCTATGTCATTTGTTTCCGCTTGGGAACCACTTTTGAGCTATGATTAGACGCCAAACACAGCAGTGAAAACGTGTTCCAGGCACCGCGGCGTTACCAAGTTTCCCACCGCGGCTCGCGGCAGCTGAACGTACGGGGTCCCGGTGCGGACCTCGGTGCAGGCCCAGGTGCAGGGCGTGGATCCAGCTGGACAGCACGGGCGCCTGGAGTTCCAGCCGGGCCAGGAACGTCCGGGGAGGGTACCCCACGGGGTCCTCGATCGACGAACTGCCTTCCTCCAGATCTCGGGGCTACGGGTTTCATTGGGAAATTTTACTACTACATTTATTGTTCCTATAGCTCCGATAACGATATTTGATACTCCGCGGGCGCCTTCGCGCATGCATCGCATTGTTATTGTGGATATAGTTATCGGACCACACGATAGAGTTACTGAAACTCCCCATTGCGAGAGACTACGCTAAAAAGGGGAGCACGGGGCAGGTGATGGGGCCATATATCTATCGCTAATGCCGCTAAGCATATATAAAGATACCTTACAAAGCAATTTCAGTGTTGGTTGCCAAACTGTTTTATCGTCGACAAAAAATAGAAGTATGTCCTTCGAGACAAAAAATATTTGAGAAACATTCATGTATACCCTGCCAGGGGCAGATTTACGGGGGGAGGGGGGCGAACGCCCCCCCTTCCCCCGTGCCGGTGCGGAGTCTGTATACGCAAACTCCGCATCGGCACTGCAATGACTCGTACCGCAAAAAAAAAAAAAAAAAAAAAAAAAGAAAAAACCGGGACTTTTACTACACGACTAATGCCACGAATGCCAAGCCACGGCAAGCATACATGACATGATCTGGGAATACGTCAAACACCATCGGTACAGGCAAGATTGTTTAAACCAAATTCCCAATGCGCGAAGACTAACAAGCTGGTCAGAATGGATCACCCTAACTGGAAAAGCGGAATATACTGCAAAGAAATCCTCAACTCCCTGCTAGACTTCATGAAGTCGGCAGGTCTCTCCTTCATCTGAACCACCATCACTGCCTTACCTCATCCCATCATGCCCTGACCAAGATGACTTAAAGGGGGGATGCAACGATTTTAAGATTAAAAGAATTTTCCTCTCGTCATTTTTACGTTGTTTATCGTATCCCGGAGGATACAGAAAACATCTTTTTCATTAAACGATGTCGCGATTCCGCTGCATGATCATGAACCAAAAGTCGAGCTTTTTCCCCCACCTGCAGCCGCGAGTGGCAGCCGAAGGAACTACGGCGAAAAGATTACGTGACCTCGCTCGGCTCTAAGCTGCAACATAATGCCCGCTGATGTCAGCTGAGAGAGGGAGAGGAAGCGTCCTCCGAGAGAGCACACGGGAAGCTACACGGCACCCCGAATTACTTCACGACCTGGTGTGACCCTGAATGCTGGGAGTGAGTTGAGGAATGCCAGAAATGCCAATATTTATCTCTTTTTTTGACACAACTAAGACACGCAGGCGAAATCGGTTTTCTGCTGTTCTTTACTTCAGAAGTGTCAAAGGGCAACTTCCACAAATTTATGACCGAAGTCCTGAAATCGTTGCACCCCCCCCCCCCCCTCGAAGTCAAGAGGGTTCGGTGTAGCTTTTTGTATTAAGATCTTCCAATTCATTCCTTTCCTGAAGAAAAAAAAGGAGCTCGTTTGTGTTTCAGGGTTTTAAAGCTGGGGCATTTGTTTGACGCTGCCAGAGAAAGAAGAGAAAGCCCCCGCCCGCGCCCTCTTCTCTGATCTCCATTCCCCTTTTACAGCGGTCACGTTCTTTTGACATGTGCCAGGCTTTCTACACTGTTAGCAAAAATAACACGCCCAGACGTGTAAACCGTTGTCCCATAGCGGACACGTCGAAACGTGTTCGTTTTACACGCAGCCATCTGTGTTTTTCGTCTACACATGAGGTGCTGCGTAAACTTAACACGATACACCGTGTTTTTCTTCCGCTAAGCACGGTTCAGCGTGTTGGCTGAGCGTGCTCATAAAACATGGCGGCCAGCGGCCGAGAACAGGCGAGGGACGAGCCCAGCAAGCCGCGCGCCTTTCGGCTGAATTGAAAGCACACAGGACGGCGTTTGTTCTCCTTCGATGTCTTTTATACACACTAAACAGTCTCCAAGCGGCGGACGTAGCTACGCGCAAAAATACGTACGTGCGTCGTCGGCGGTCGGCGGCGTCGGTAGCTACGGTAGCTACGATCGAGCCGCTAGACAGAAAAGCGAACTCAAATGGACAAATAACTCGAGCAAACTATTTGAAATCGGGCGGTAACTTCCGCCACCTAGCGGAATTTCTAGCAGTCTATAAAAAAAGTTTGTTAATATGCTACGAGCCTACGACCGATCACAAGTAGACACAACCCCTACATACATCACGCACAACGCCAATACCACGCATTACACACCACCGACATATACACAAACACAACACCCGACACTGCGCCCGACACTTCCTACTTAACATGCTTTTCTCTCCGCGGCGTATATAAGCTTGGCATGTGCGGGTGAGCTATTTAGTCGCTGACCGTTACAGATTTATAGAAGAAGACACAAAACACGGCGCAATGGACAGCCGTATGTAAGAACCCTTTGCATTTAAAAAGTATGGAGGCAAAATCTATATTGTTAGTCCGTTGCGAAAGATAACGATGTATTGACAATAAATCCTAAACCGGTCATGAAGAAATTCAAAATTTTGTTATTTTTATGCTAGACCAGTGTTATGAGCAGTCCGACTAGCTTGAATCAGATTTTTTTTTAATTATTAAGATTTTATCATTATATAATTAATAATAAACGGAAATGATGCTTGCGCAAAGCATTTTTTTATATATTCTTGTGAAGGACATGTGCTCAACACTTCACTTCCGCTAGTTGCAGTACAGGAGCAGAGGGAGCAGACGCCTTCACTTTTGGGTCGTGTTGATGCAGTTTGTTGTCGTCTGTCGTGTCGGTGTTGAGTGGAGCGGTGGGGCTCGGGAGCTCGTGGCCGGTGTTATTCGTGATCACTGGTGTGGGGCGCTAATGCGTCTTTTTCTTCTTTTTTTTTTTACACTGCCACGCTGTTACCATTCCGAACTTTGAATATACACGGGCCCGAGCACTGCATTATGCTGAATGGCGAGCTCTTTCTCTGCTGACGTCGCTTTCCTGGTACCTCTCGTGGATACTGCAAGCGTTTAAACAGTGTACACCGTCTCGCCTACATCCCCGGTGACGTATTCCACCTGTTGAAACGTTTTGCTTCCGTCATTTTTAAGTACGCAAGGCAGTTATCTCGTTGCTCTGGTTCCGGTTATAAAAGCAAGGCAAAACGCTCGTAGTTCCCGCCCTCGGTACACGTTGGACATCTTCCACACTTTGACACCGGATAACTGAATGAACGAGGATCTACATTCACTTCAGAGGTCACTCTCGCCGCTTCCTCACCGTTTAGCAGCAGGATCAGCTGGCGACAAGCCACGGATGAAAGCATTCGTGGCTTGTGAGCATCAACAGCCCAAGCGCACTCGGTGCCGACGCGGGTGATGCGGGTTTCTGTCAACGGGGAGGCCAGCACAAACCGTGACCGTTCCAGCTCTTCGTCATGGCACGGTGTTGCAGAGAGCAGAGTAAAATACAACTACACGGACCACCGAAGCAAACGCACTGCTATCGTAAATCTTGGCTTGTGATTGCGCCTTTGTAGATCATCTTATTCGTTTTACTGGAGAGACGCAAACGACAGGCATAACAAAATCGCTTGCATACTCCGCATACCTCGCAAAAGCATTTACCCAGTCACCTTACGAAAAGCGCGAAACACGGAGTCCGCACCGTCCTAAGCTTCTTCTGTTTTTTACCTGCTTTAGAGCAGTTTGTACCCGTTTTTAGATATGCCTACTGAAACTGAAACAGGGCAGTGCCATAGAAAACAGACAAAGTTGGGAAAGCTTGCTCGCTCTCTCCAATTTCTCAACTCTCAAGTGATTGTACCATAGTAAATGCACCAGCGCCTTTCCAAAACAAAGAAAAAGCACTATGTTCACCACGCAAAAAATGGTCTCAGTTCATGCATCTGTGGGCAGGTAGGAAATCTTGCCCCAATTTATTCACACCGCATGATGAGCGCAACAAACTCGCACGAGATTTAAAGGAAAATTCTGTTACCGGTCGTTTGCAGGACCGAGTCATCTACTCGAGCTGTGTGCGTCGCTGTGCAAACGCAGTCCAACACGAAGCATAAAAACGGCAGATCTAGGACAACAATCCGGAGTCCATTGTTCAATTTAAACGACGTAATTTTGTTGAAAACGCCCACAGCTTTTTACTCGCGGTATGCGTCGGTATACTTCCACATTTTGAAACAGAACGAGGGAAGATTTACTTTTAAAAACGCTCGCTGCGTCCTCCGGGACCAGCTGGACCGGATCAGCTGATTACGACGGACTAAACCCACAGCAACCAATTCGCGCTCCGTGTTAGTGTGGCTTTCTACCTCCAAGCACCGTACCACACACCACGGACACTTCAGCTCTTTGTCGCATCGCCGCGTTGCACCAAACAGAACGAGATCGCCGAAGTAAACGCAGCGCTGTCGTGACCCTTGGCTTGTGGTTGCGCACTCGTGGACCCGGTGACACCCTTCGCTTTCCAAGCACACACGACGATTGCGAATGATGCTTTCCGTCGTCCGGGAACATCACAGGGGCACGTCTCCGGTCACGTCTTCGCTACATGTGCTCGCAAACCGAGCACCTTCCAACCTTCTTGCCCAACCAAAAGAATACCGGCGCAATGTTAAACGTGCGTTGTTGCCAGATTTTCTCCGACCAAATAAAAAACAACGAAAGCAAACCGGTTCTAACTTCGAGCTTACATCGCTTACATCGGCGTTACGCCGTGGCCAAATTTTCTCTGTCAGCTCTAACTTAAAGATGACCTACAGATGCAGCAACACTGGACACCACGGAGCGCCGTAAATTCTGAGGAGGATGCATGGGAAGCGGCGGCACCTTCGCTTGCAGTTGGAAGGGTTGAAGCCAAAACGAAACCAACTGCAATGTCGCGTGTTCAGATCAAGGGCACGCTTTTTATAGCCATTGTAACTGTTTAGAACGAGTAATTATACGCCTAACTTTATTTTTGGTGTGTGAGAAACAATTATCAAGACCCCTAATATAAATACAAACATGGGCGACATAAGGGAAGCCGCATTGCCATTGTCGACCACAAACAATGGCAGCCAGCACGCACGGTAAGCGCGGGGTTCGCCCCGTCTCGCGACATGGCGTAATTGCTTTTGGTGCTTATCTGTCTCCGAGACATGTTCCTTTCCGCGGAATTTGACTCCACGGTCCTTTCTAGGTGTGTCCCCAAGCGTTCCGGTGCTTCGGTAGCCGGCAATGCTGCGGTCGTCGCCGGCGGTGGTGCGTGTTTTCGAGGTCGGCTACACGGTTATGCGTGTATGACCGAACGAAAACACGTTTTTTACAACCTCGCATGATTTTTGAACGAATTATCCGTTACTCAACGTGTAAATTTATGGTAATTTGTGTAAATAGCGTGTTTTTCACCCCAAATATTCACCAAATACACGGGACTTGCTAACAGTGTAGAATAAAGGAGGCTATATGTCATGGCTTAATTGTCCCGAACGTTTTATCTGCACTCTAGAAGCAGTGCTTCGAAACAAGGAAGAAGATAGAATGACTACGAGCATTTCAGCATGATGTCACCTGCCAGTTTCTTGAAGCAATATTACTGTGTTCACAATTAAACAACAACCGTATACAATGTAAGCGATAGCGTTAAGCGGAACCAATATGGCGCGTTTTGGATAAAAATGCTTCAGGACGAGATGCGGACGCGCCGATGTCTCCAAGCCTGTTCTAGCCCTAGTCCCCGCTTTTCCGTCTATAATATTACGCTGAGTACTTACCCTCCTGCAGCAACTGGAACAGTTGAACATGAACATGTCTTGCTGGCGCTCACGTTCCGGGAAGTATGCTTGCAGAAAACGAGAGCAAAATTTTTGAAACCAAGGCACGCACAATGCCGGGCAGCACGAGCAACGCAGTTCGGAACCTTCAATTTGTCGACAGTTACATTCAAAATATACGAGTGAATTATAAACTACGTTTCATTGGTTGTCTTGGTTTGATTGATGAGTAATTTTATCGGTCGTAGATTCCTTTACTGTGTTGTAGTTTTATCGGAAATCGGGGCGTTTTACGATTTTTGGTTCATGATCTTTGAAGACGACGAAGATTAGGACCTCCCCATAAACCAACGTTACTAGAACAACTCAGGAAACTGCCATTGAGCCTGCTCTGAAAAAGTGGCATCGATGCCGTACTAATAGGCAGTTTTCGTAGACCGCGCTGCCCCCTCCGCTAAGCGTTCCGCAACGAAGTCGTTACTGCACTGCGCGCCGATAGCCTTGACTGTGGAGTTCCCGCTATCGTAGCGGGTTGCGGAGGGCCTTGCGGGACGGCGAAAACGATCTACGAAAACTCCCTAATGGCGCAGTATGATCGCAACGCCGCCATTTCTCCCGCAGCGGCCACTCGGGGAACTGCACGGCTGCTTGCATGAGCTCCGAGATCCCGAAGCGCGAGAAGACGACGAAGTGCTTTGAGCAAGGAACACGAAATTTTGCTCTCTCGGTATCTTTTACGTTTGAAACCTATGTACTCGTATCCTGGCCTGGCAATTTTGTTTCGGCAAGTGGAACTGGGCTGGTCTCTTACTACCAAACGCCTCTGCATGTAAGGGACTATCCCAAGCAGCACGTTGTGAATGGGCCATCGCTGGCAAGTGTACTATGGCCAACCAGATTTTCGATGGCCCAAGCTTGGCCAAAGTGCTCGGCAATTGAGGAGTTTCAGCGACGGTGTCACCGCCCTGGCGGCCGGTCGCCGAAAGAGAACGAGGGGGATAGGTTCGCTGGGCGTTGGCTTTGTGTAAATGCGTTGGCCGCGAACGTAGGCTTATAAACTTCGGCAGCAAGAATATTACGCGGCTCTAGTGTTCCGGTACGAGCAACAGAGATGACACGAACTGCTACGACGAGCTACGACCACCCGCCGCAGCGATGCAGGCGTCGAAGGAGCGCAACCTGTGTACTACGCAGTCAGTCGCCGTCGCCCGACGCAGGTCGTTTGGCATTCAGGACTTTCCGTCCCGGGTTCTTCGCTTACACTTGGAACCGAGTATTATTCCCTGTGCTTCTGTATGTGCTCAGTGGCTGGATGTGGACCTCATAGAGCAGAGTTCTTCAGACTCGACAGCGACTCAAAGTTGACGGCGGAGGGGCTTGCAGCAACGCTTTCGGTTGGTGCACGGGTGCGACGACTACACGGATAAATTTTAAGATTGCTGCTAGCAAGGTGGGCCATAGTCGCTTTATGTTGACACGATTTTGAGTGTAAGTACTCCGTGCAAAGGCGAATCTATCGCGTTTCTAATCCACCTCTGTTTTTGTTGTTGTTTTTGCGCTCGCACGACCGATTGAAAATGCTTCTGTACCAATCACGGAGTGAATGTCTTCGGCCTACATTGCGGAACGCCCAATAAAAAGTCATATTCGTTCAGCGAGCAAACTTCCCTTTCGAGTGACCTTCTTTGATTGATGATTTCGCCCGTACTTGAGTGCTTTAATCAAAACGATCGATGAAGTTTGCTTCCCTAGTTAGGACATTTTTTGTGCCACATGCGGCACTAATGCTTGGCACGATGTATTCTACTGGTGGTATTGTGAATTGGTTTACTTCCAAAGCTAACAGTATGACAGGTGGGACCATTCAATTTGCTAAAAATGTGATATGGGAATGTCGTTGCATAACTAGCGTTTTACGTTTAGATTGATAAGAAACATGCTCATGTGATGACGCACGTCTACAGCATAAGCTTTGCAGATCCAGGATGGATGTGCTACAGGCTCAAGACTTTTAATGGACCAAATTGGTGATTACATGGCAATAAATATTGTGGAAAACTGCCCATTGACTCGGTGAGTTTTGATCGTGACCATTGGCGTGCTGTTGGCAAATTAAAGGGACGTTTCATCTAGATGTGCTTAAATATCTTTATTTCAAGGTTCAGTGGACCCCTCTGCATCATTACAGGAAGGCACTCTCAAGCCACAACAAACAGCAGTGAATATACAATGCATAATAACGGGCACCAGTGTCCAGGCGTATAGTCCGCAGAAGCCAATTTGAGCCTAAAAATGTTTTTGTTTTGTTTAGATAGTTTGCATTTGGTGTATAATTCGCAGGGCCCGATTTCCGCGCCCAGTGCATAGTCCGCCAAGCTGGTGCGTTGCGTCTTTGTGCTTTTTTTCCTGGGTGGCATTTTCTTCAGAAGTTCTTCGGCGAACGCTATTGAGCCTGAAGAACTGCTCTTGAGGCCCATATCTAGCCACTCGGCACACACACAAGCACAGAAAATAACACTCGGTGCCAAGTACAAACGAAGCACCTGGGCGGAAAGCCGTGAATGCCAAACGAGCAGCGTCCGGTGACGGCGACTGACTGCGTTGCGCCCCTTCGGTGCCTGCATCGCTGCGGTGGGTGGTCGTAGCTAGTCGTAGCGAGATGATCTTCACTTCAAGCAAGAAATCTTGCCATACCATAGTCAAGATATGTGTGCAAGTGTTCGACGACGTGGGCTCTCTCACGTTGGTGCAGTTGTCATCAAGAAAGGTACATAACAATGTTGAGTGTTTGAGGCTGAAACTATGACGCATACTTATCTAAACCTAAATTTATCGGTCTGTGGCTACAAACATTTCCGTTGACGTTGCTTAGATCATGTAACCATTCAGGCCTCAAATTAAATGGTGTTTCGAACTCTTCGGTTGTGTATAAAAACCTATTTGCTCTAATAAAAGACATTTTGAAAAGGACACATGTCTTCTTCTGATACATATCTTCCAATTTACAATGCAGAAGCAAACAGAAAATCAACTGCATACACCTACCACTTGGCATAAGCACCTTTTGCAATTCCTTCTTGAGCACACTCAAATATCAGCTAAGGTTGCTCTTGTTTTAGAAGCTTTGCCCTGTTCTGTAAAAAGAAAACAGTTAAAAAAGCTTTACCTTCGTTCTCCTCCTCGCATTTAATACAGACTTGTTTGTCAGCAGATCACACACAGCAGATATCACCGTGGCACATACAACTCGAATGACCGATGAGACTATTGCTATTACAATAAAGTTTTCCACAAGAGCCGAAATGAGGCTTGTAGGGGTGCACAAGCACATGGAAATGAGATTGGCGCTTCCGGGGCTTGTTTACATTATGCGTAAAAACAGGACGATCGGCGACCAGCTGATCGCAATATAACACCAAGGATACCGATGTTTCGATACATAGAACGCAGGATAAAGACCTCAATCGTCCCTTGTATGCTGTAGTTGTCATACTTTCCATCCAACCGCTTTTTAGCACAATTAACTAGAACAACCGAAAAGTTCGCAACACCTTCTAATGCGAGGCCTGAATGGTTACATCATCTAAGCCACGTCAACAAAAATGTTCGTAGCCGCAGACCGATAAGTTTAGTTTGAGATAAAGTACGCGTCATAGTTTGAACGCGCGAACATTGTTGACATGTACCTTTCTTTGGACCCGCGTACATTCGGTTCAACCTGATGACAGCTGCACCAGCGTGAGAGCTCACGTCGAACACTTGCACATACATCTTGACTATGGCAAGATTTCTTGCCTTCGACTGGCTTGAACACTTCATCTGTAGCATCACGGTAGGTCTTGGTTGAAATGATGATCGTCTCGCACACGGCAACAAACAGAGAACGACACGCTTTGTTCTATTTATACGCTACCGGTCTACGGGCGTCGCAAATCTATCCCCCTCTTGTCCGCCATGTTGGATCTATCGGAGCGCCCCCTATATTCGCTGAAACTCCTCAATAGCAGTGTTTTCGTCCTCGTCTGGTGACTTGCCATTCACTTTATGCCAGCCGCTGGCCATTCACTTTAGGCCAGTGACTGGCCATTCACTTTAGGCCAGTGACTGGCCATTCACCTTTGTCCAGTGGCTGGCCATTCACTTTAGGCCAGAGACTCGCCATTCACCTTTGGCCATGACTGGCCATTCATATTTGGCCAGTGACTGGCCATTCACTTTAGGCCGGTGACGTGCCATTCACCTAAGGCCAGTCACTTTCGGCCAGCCACTGGCCATTCACGTTTGGCCAGCCACTAGCCATTGACTTCCGGCCAGTCACTGGCCGAAAGTGGCTGTAGTTATACACTTAATACATAATTTATCACAGACCGCCAGAAAATTTGGGTGTTGCTCAGAAGACTGTCAAGAGTTTCGGGAGGTCAAGTTTGAGAACTCAACCCCAGTAACTTTTACATAGTAATGAAACGCGAAGCTGATGCAAGGCTGCTCAATATTTATTGGACTTTTTAAGTACTAAGTCTTACGGCGCTGGTTGCGACCACCATTCCAGTCGTCGTGGGTTCAGGGATGGTATGTTGTCCCACCATTAAGATCCCCCGGTAGTGCAGCAGTAAAAAAAAAAATAAAAAGAAGTAACTTTAGGTGAAGGGACAGTGCAACAATAGAGAGTTTTAGTAGATCGTTCCGATACCTCCGATAGCCCCGATAACGGTACTATGGATGCGCAAGGGAGGCGGTAGCGGAGTATCGGGTATCGTTATCGGAGTCATGGGAGCGATCTACTAAAACTCTCTACTGTTCGGTTACAATACTTTTCACTTTACACACGCTTACTGGCACTAATGGGAAAGAGAAGCCTTGAGTACACAGTAAAAGTTTTTACACACTTAAGGGTGTAAATCAGTTTGTCCCTGGGCTAACACCCTTATGGCGTTCAGGCAAGCACCCGTCATGAAGGGTGCTTGCTAACACCCTTGGTAAAGGGTGCTTGGCATGAAATGAGCACCCGCTGCGGTGGCCCAGTGGCTGCTGGGCCACCCCAGCCAATCTGGCGCCGGGAGGGTGTCAT